GCCCCGGGCGCCCAGATTCAGCCATTGTTGAACCTGATCAGCGGCTGATTCCAGGAAGCCCGGGGCAGAGAAACTCTGCCTCGGGCTTCCTGTAGACAGCCACTGGTCAGTTTCAGCAGCGACTGAATCTGGACGCCAGTTCTGACTTACGTACAAATTCAACTTAAGAACAAACCTACAGTCCCTATCTTGTACGTAACCCGGGGACTGCCTGTACTCTGTTCGCTCGAGCAAGTCTTGTACAAGTAACATGTAAGCCATTGATTTCAGGAGTTCTGCTTACACCTCAAGCCTTTTCATTTCAATTACATGTCACATTTTCGCTTCTTACCATTTGAACTCTCAGAACTACTGGCCTATGCCAAAGCAGCTACAGCTTTCCTTTAACGAGTTATTTTAAGGATGGGCCCTTGCAAGATGCAGGGCCCTCTGGCCCCAATCTAGAACAAGCACTTACACCTCTCCTTGAAGTGAACCTCGGTGGGACTGTATGTGCTTGAAAATATGCACCTGCTGACGTGCTTTGTTGGATCAGGACTATCATGCTTAGCACTTACAGAATCAAAACCTTCATGTGCATGATTATTCTGGACATTCGAAAGAGGAATTGCAAATATCTTCCTTCATTAAAATCTGAAAGCAGCTTAAAGTGGTAAGTTATCCAAGCTGGATGGATCCATTTACTAAAGAAAACATTGAAGGCAAGGCTATCTATGAAAGCAGAAAAGCGGAATTAACTATTTTACCAGTAATTTTACATATTGTATAATTTAATAGGAGTTGAAAATAGCCTAATGCAATGTTTCTTCATTTTGAAATTCAGGAGTGATATTTAACCTTTTTTTTCCTCCCCCTCCCCTTTCATGCCAGTTATTTTCCTGTCAGAGAATAAAAAGAGTTTTCTTCATTTTGATGTAATCTTCTGTAATTTGGTTCCCTCTGTTCAAAATCCATGAGCCAAATGAGGAAACTGTGAATATAAAGATACTACTGTAACATCATCTTACTCAAAAAATTAAAAGCTATATAAGACACTGAAATCATAGGGTATCCTGCTTTTCTTTAGCATCCAGATTCAGGAAAGCTTTTTTATTCCAGATGGCACTTAGCTAACTTTAGGCATGTGCTGATCATAGAATCCTAGATTTGGAAGAGACCTCAGGAAGTCAAGTCCAACCCCCTGCTAAAAGCAGGACCAATCCCAACTAAATCATTGCAAGGATTTAAAACGCTAGTGATGGAGATTCCACCACCTCCCTTGGGAACCCATCCCAGTGCTTCACCACGCTCCTAGGGAAATAGTTTTTCCTAATATCCCAGCTAGACCTCCCCCGCTGTGACTAATGTTTAAGTGCTGTCATGAATGGGAACCCATTTAATCATATGCTTAAGAGCTTTTATTATTTAATGCCAGATGCATGTAGGACCTGGCCCTATTCATAGAACACATAGGCAAAGGTTAGGGCAGATGCATGTAGGACCTGGCCCTATTCATAGAACTCTGTGAGGGTTCTACACATAGGCAAAGGTTAGGATTTTCAAAGCAACCTGGGCTATTTGGACACCCAGTTTCCTTGGGGGCTTTGAAATTCTATCCAAAGTTGGAATATATTTATAATGTCCAGTCTCAGATTCAACTTAGACCAGGCCATCCAAGAATTATCAAGAAATATTCTTAGTATTATTTTAGCAGCTGGAAACCCAGACCTTGCCATAGGGTAGCATGGGCATATATATACACACACACGCAGAGAGAATGAACTTTACATTGAAACTTACCTCCCAGTAAGCTTGATCATCAAAATACTTTGATGCAGGAAGTGTCTTCCATAGTTTGAAAGTTAAGAAGAAACCTGTGTTTAATAGTGATATATGTGGGTGAGAGGAGATGTTTGTAAATGGCATATTTATTCTTCACATATCACAATATAATGCAGAGCTAAATATGAAATCAGAACTATAGCCATGCTCCCCTCCCCCACTAATCTTTCCTGTGTCAAAGTCTTTAATTTCTGCAGAAGTGAATTTCAGATAAAAATAACACCACTGGTCTTACTTTTAAAAGCATGTGAAGCCCTTTATGTTCCAGATTTCCTAATCCTGTATAAATTATTGTAAAATGTTCCCCAGAATATTTTTCCTTCTTTAGCTCATGGAAATGAGACAATGTTCCCCACAAGCAAAATACTTTATTCTAAATCCATGATGCAACAGAGCATCCTAGCCATCAGATTCTTTAAGCTTGACATAATTTGGGGAGAAAACCCATGCTTCCAGAAAAGCCAACTATTATTTTCTCTGTAGGATTACATGGATTCCTTCTTCAACCTTCAGTCATGCTCACACAGTGAAAGCAATAGATTGAAAGCAAAGCTCCTAAAAATATCTTAGGCCCCAATCTTGCAAGCTATTTAGTCTGGGTCAAACCTACACATGCCCCTTTGAATTTCAGGAGACCTGCAGAAATGATGCCTTCATTGTTAATAATTAACACCACAAGTTACAAGAAAAAAGGTAACTGTCTTTTCTGTACTAAAGCCAAGTGAACAACCTGCTAGATTCTCAGGATAAACTACATGATGATGAGCTTTTCATATGAAAAGTTACCCAGGCACTTTAAACAGGCAGGCTTAGCTCCACTGTTAAACTTGAGAGTTCAGCTGCGAACACCCTGCTTGTTAAATGACTGGATCAACACCTAATGTTTGTTTATTTTTGCTGTTTATTTTTTCCAGGTCTTGCAGTCAATTGAAGTAGACACTTAAAAGTCTGCTTGATTAGCTCAACCTCTTAATTACATTTGCGCAAGTTCAGGGAGTTATAATTAATTATAGGCTGAAACATTCATTGTAGAAACCGGTATTTCACAGAGGTTCTAATATGCCGTTTCACTGATCTGAAGCAGGTGTAAATAGCTGTAGAAAATATTGCAATTGCCATAATCCCACAAGAGAGAGAGATGTTCCAAGATCTACAACCAGAAGACCAGATCCTCAAGAGCAGTAAAATCTACTATTGCATTCAGGAAAGCTATGCTGATTTATAGCAGCCGAGGATCTTTCCCAGCAAGTGGAAAACAGTGTCAATATTTTTTTTGATCACTAAAGCAATATTCCGCATATAAAGATTTCTAACTTATCCTCTCTCTTATCTGAAACCTGGAGGGTGCTAGTGAAGCATCAATTAAAAATAACCTCGGCAAGCAGAGGAATGATGCTATAGTTTGGGGCACACTGAACATCACCCTTTCTCCAACGCTGCAACTGAAAGAAGCCTCATCACTCAGTATTTCTTCTGGCTTTTCCTACAGTAGCAAGTCATTTGCCTACATGTATATTTTGAGTGTGTCAGTCACCCCTGTATCTAGGTACCAAGAGCTGCAATAAGCCAGTGAACACTGATGTGACAGCTGATGTAACAAATGCATACACCTGCTCTTCCAAAGATCAAAGCCAAAGGTAATGCAGAGAGCTTTCCCATACTGACCTGTAATGAATCCTGCTCCCAAACCTATTGCAGTGGTCAGCATGAAAGAGCCAACTTCAATCAAGACTGGATAACCCAGGCTGAAAGTGAAAAACCAAACTTTCACACTGAGCAAAGGACTGTAGTAAAAAATATTCCTAGAATATTTGCTGCTTACAGATTCCAGGGTACACATTAAGGCTGTGCATGTGTCTGCTTGAATATATATATCATTGCAACTTCTCACTAACTGAAGAATCATGTCATTCAAAGTTTATTTTTAATCATCACATTATTGTTAGCGTCACTTGAAAGGGTTAACACATTCCACTGGTTCAAAGACTGCTGCAGAATTCTACGGCCAGATTTTGCCCTTAGAATTCCACTGGTTCAAAGACTGCTGCAGAATTCTATGGCCAGATTTTGCCCTTAGATTGCTGCTTGCAAAGCCCAGCAACACTGGCAGGTGAGCATATACGTTAAAGGGCAGAATTCAACCCATGTACAGTCCCGATTCTGCAATCTGATCTGCCCACACAGTGCCCTAATTAAATCAGTGACACCATGGAGGAATAAAGGTTGGAATGGGTCAATTATAGATAAGATCTAAAAGAAATACTGGGACATTCAATCCTTCCTCACTCCCCCTGTGAGTGCAGGATGGTCCCCCAAGCTCATGCTCCAGGACTTTGTCCTGTCTAGTTTTAACCCTTAAGTTTGCATCTTCTCATTTGTATTGCCTCTCTTTTTAAAAGTTGCCCTTTATTGCCAATTTTAATAGGTCAGATTCCCTGACATGTGAAGTGTCAATCAAAAGCCACCATTGGGAAAGGATTCACATCACCTCAGGCCTCTTTGTGGCAGGGGGCTGCTGCCAACCCACCTAATCCCCCCAGTGCAGGCTACCATCAAGGGGGATAGATTGGGGCTGGTTGAAAAGCTTTATGTCTGCCGGGCAACCAACACTTGCCAGCCTGGTGATCTACCCAGGCTGGGAAGGAGCCAGAGAGATGGAAGTCCTCTAGCTGCTTACTGACCCAGCCTATGGCAGGGGAGAAATCTATAAAGACTATACAAAGTTGGGCATGTAGAGCTGATCATTTTCCCAACTGGACGAACAGGGCACCTTTGCCATAAATGGTGTGCGGTCCATCCGGTCAGGAAAGCTGGCAAGCCTCGGTGGGAAGATGCTCACCGGATGAAGGAAACGGGTGTTGCATGCAACCGCCGTCTCCCTGGACTTAACTGGCAGAACAACCAGGGCTGGAGGACGAGGGGCTGGCTGTGCACCCCGTTCCTGAGACACTCAATGCCTCCTTGTCTTCCTCTTCAATTCAAAGCTGCTCACGTTCAGTCTCCCTTCCACTGAATCTCTGCTCTCGTTTCCTCCATCTCACATAGCTGCGCTCCCTCTCTCCCCCAGTGCCGGCGACCTCGCCCATTTAGCAAGTCAACGCTAAACGTTACTTTTGAGATCCTGATCCAAAGCCCACTGGTGTCAATGAGAGACTCCGCTGATTTTAATGGCTTTGGATCTAGTCCTACGTTGCTATGAAGGGGATTAATCTACAGTGGCCATGTAGAGCTATCTGTGTGCTGCATGTGCGCTCTATGACAACGCGTAGCCATTAGGTGAACATGTTACATACTAAAAGGACCAACCTACCTTGATAAACTGGCCCATTTGATTATGATGAAGAGGATGACGTTGGCTATTGCTCCAAGCAATCCAGGCAACCCAAAGGTGTAATGGATGCCACAGGTGTCATGAATCTTGAGCACTGGGTTCAAATATATCTGGGGGGAGGGAAATGTTTAATAACTACAGAGATTAACATATTTACTGAGCAGGAAAGTTTCAGCTACACATCCCAAAACAGAATGTGCCTGCTCAGTCCCATGTGCTAGGACCAGGCTGCACTGCAGCCAGCTTCCCAGGTGATTAGTCAGCCCCGCCCAGTCAGAGGCTCAGGGCTCCCAGCCCGGGGCTGGCTAATCACCGGTGAAACTGTGCTGCCATGCAGCTTAGAGGGAACCCTGCCCAGGAGTCCTGGCTATAAACTCTAGACGTGCTATTTCTTAGGGTATGTCTGCACAGTAGCACGTAGCTCAAACTAAGCTACACAACGTGAGCTGTGCAAGTTGCATAGCTTCTCTCATAACAGGCTATTTTGAAATTTGGCGCCGCCTAACCAGTGCTAATTTAGAAGTAGAGTGCTATGCCGACGAGTCCCGTAATTTTTGTGCTGGGAGGTTTACAGGATGTCGGAATAACAAGCCCGGTATTTCCAATATATTTCGAAATATCAGGCTTGCTGTTAAGACACCCAGAATGCTATTTCAGGATAATGGACATTCTCCCAAAATAGCGCCACCATGTAGACACACCCTTTGGGCCCGTCTACACTGCAGGGCAAACCTCGAATTAAGCGACGCAACTTGAGCTACGCCAATTGCGTAGCTGAAGTCGAAATAGCGTAATTCAGCTTTTGCTGCTGTCTCCACAGCAGGAAGTAGAAGGAAGAACACTCTTCCCTCGCCTTCCCTTCCTCCTCGTGAAATGAAGGTTACAGGAGTCAGAGTAAGAAGTCCTCCAGCTCACCAGTATTTCGAAATAACGGCTTGCAGTGCAGACACGTTCTCTGTTATTCTGAAATAACGCTGCTGTGTAGACATAGCCTTAGTGTGTAAACCCTCCCATGACAGCATGTGCTGGGATTTCAGGTTTTGGACTTTACCTCTAAGCAGCGAGATCCCAGTACCGCGATGTTGCTGGCAAGCAGACCCAAAATCATGGCAATCCAAGGATATGGAATAAAGGGAGCAGAGAAACCAAGAGCAACCCCTCCTGCTAGTGTTGCCTGGTGGATATGGATCTGTGGGTTAACATCACAGAAGTCAATTCACACACACGATATTTCACTCTTTGGCTTAAATTCCCTCCAGTGCAGCACAATACCCCTGCGCCCCGTGGTGTTAAGTGCTATTTTGTGGGATCCAATTGGAGTATAACTGGCCCGTTGCAACAGGGCAAATCTCACCCTTGCAGCACTGAGGCTAGTGAGCATCTTCAGCGCTCTGTGCCTGGGGACTGGAGATCGTCGTCGGGCTGAGAGGCTAGCGGTGTGGGAGCTCATTGGCCGTTTTACTTTCAATGCTTTGCTAGAGAGGAATGACAAGTGACGTCTCCCAGCAAAGCAGCCTTTGTTTTCCTCTTACCATCTGGATTTTTCCGTCCCTGCTGCTCAGGGCTGACAGTGCAAAAGCAGCCACGGCGCTAACCCCCATGGCGTAGTAAGTGTTCGAGATGGCGTTTCTCTTTTCCGTCACATCCACGATCAGCACAGAGTTGAAGCTGGGCCAGAACATCCACAGAAAGAGGGTGCCTTGCAGACAAAGAGAAGCAGTCGCTGGTCATCAGAAGGCTCCCAAACGCAGTGGGCCCGCCCCACGTTGTTTCCGCTGACAGGTTCTAAATCACATAAAGGGCACCCACTGCACCAGCTGGTGGGACTCCATTCTCCTGACTGCCCCTAGCGCTCACTGCCCAGCAGAACCAGGCAATGAAGGGGCACCCGGAAGGGAGACTTAGTGGGAAAAGCACCAAGAGCCTCCTGGGCAGGGCCAAAGGCCCTCAGGGCAGGAGATGCTCAGTATCTTTCATGGTCAGGTCTCAAAGCATCAGCCTTGCAATCCCTGCGCTCCCTGGAAACAGATTCAATTCTCAACGGGACGGACTCTGCCTTCCCTCCCCAAGAAGTATGTGCAGCATGCAATTTACTGCGCGGGGTCCTTTCGGAGACCTTGAAACCCAACACCCTGCCTGCCTGGCTGCTGCAGTACCTCGTAACCACAAGGACCGTGAAGTCAGTGGAGGCATCCAGCACCTCTGAACATGAAGTCTCCAAGGGCACAGGAGGGCCCTTCCTGAAACATCTTTGGCCACAATCTCCCAAGTCTCTCACTGCTGTACAGCATGCTGGTCACCCGGCTCAGGGGCACTGACCACGATAAAGCACATGGCTGTATTCAAACCATCCTTCATGGAGGAGTATCAGAACACCAGCACAGCTGGCACTAGCTGGCTCCCTCCCTGACAACTTAGCAGAGAAGCTGAGGGCTGCGTGAACCAAAGCCTGAATCCCCCTTAGTGCGGACTCCGTGCCCGCGGCTACACGCAGCATGGAATAGGTAATTCGAATTAGGCTAATTCGAACTACCGTTACACCTAATGGAACAAGGAGTAACGGTAGTTTGAATTAGAAAGCCTAATTCGAACTACTTACTCCGTGCCACGTGGGGATTAAAAAAGGGCGGCGCCCGGCAAGATGCAAACGAAGCCCGGGATATTTAAATCCTGGGCTTCATTTGCAACTTCAAACGCCTACATTAGCCACCCTAGTTCAAACTAGGGTGGTAGTGTAGACATACCCCTTGAGACTTATTTTGAGAATATCCACCACTGTAATAATTGGATCTAGGGTATGTCCACACTGCAGGTCTACACTGCAGTTCTCTTTCGAGAGAGGGATGCAAATGCAGCCGAGCGAAATTGCAAATGAAGCGCGGATTTGAATTTGCTGCACTTCATTTGCATAATCGCGTCCGGCCGCTATTTTGAAATACCCTATTTCGAGATAAAAAACGCTGCGTAGAGGCGGTTATTTAGAGAAAAAACCCTTCTTTCGAAATAACCCTTACTCCTTATCAAATGAGGTTTAAGGGTTATTTCAAAAGAAGGGTTTTTTCTCTAAATAACCGCCTCTACGCAGCGTTTTTTATCTCGAAATAGGGTATTTCGAAATAGCGGCCAGATGCGATTATGCAAATGAAGCGTGGGAAATTCACATCCGCGCTTCATTTGCAATTTTGCTCGGCTGCATTTGCATCCCTCTCTCGAAAGAGAACTGCAGTGTAGACATAGCCTAGCAGAGCAATTAGCATTCCTGTTAGACAGCTAGGCCCCTGTGCGGTAACAAGTCCATGGCTGCATAGACTGCGAAATAGCGGCCAGATGCGATTATGCAAATGAAGCGTGGGAAATTCACATCCGCGCTTCATTTGCAATTTTGCTCGGCTGCATTTGCATCCCTCTCTCGAAAGAGAACTGCAGTGTAGACATAGCCTAGCAGAGCAATTAGCATTCCTGTTAGACAGCTAGGCCCCTGTGCGGTAACAAGTCCATGGCTGCATAGACTGTAAGGCGAGACATGGGGTCTTTCTGCACTAATAACTACTCCT